TAGGTAACTACCTGCTTTGCTCTTGCTGCTTTTAATATTCTCTCTTTGTCTTTTGCTCTTGAAATTTTATTTTATTTATTTTATTTATTTATTTATTTATTTATTTATTTATTTATTTTTTTATACAGAGAGGAAAGGAGAGGGATAGAGAGCCAGAAACATTGATGAGAGAGAAACGTCAATCAGCTGCCTCCTGCACACGCCCTACTGGGGATGTGCCCACAACCAAGATACATGCCCTTGACTGGAATGGAACCTGGGACCCTTGAGTCGGCAGGCCGATGCTCTATCCACTGAGCCAAACCAGTTAGGGCTGCTCTTGAAATTTTAATTATGATGTGTCTTGGTGTGGTCCTCTTTGGATTCCTTTTGTTTGGGGTTCTGTGTGCTTCCTGGACTTGTAAGTCTATTTCTTTCACCAGGTGGGGGAAGTTTTCTGTCACTATTTCTTTCAATATGTTTTTGGTATCTTGCTTTCTCTCTTCTTCTGGGACCCCCATAATTCTGATGTTGGTTTGCTTGAAGTTGTCCCAGAGGTTTCTTACACTATCTTCAACTTTCTGGATTCTCTGTCTTCTTGTTTTTGTGGAGGAGTGTTCTCAGGCTCTTTGTGTTCCAAATCTTTGACTTGATTCTTGTGATCTTCCATTCTGTTTTTAGGACTCTGTATAATATTTTTTTATTTCAGACAATGTATTCTTTATTTCTAGTTGATCCCTTTTCATATCCTTATAGGTCTTGTTTATTTTATTGGCCTTTTCTAGGAAATTCTTGAAAAACCTTATAACCATGGTTTTGAACTCTGTATCCAGTCGCCATTTCTTTTGTTTGTGATCTGTTTTCTTGTCTCGGCATTTTTGCTCCTTCCCTGAGGGGCTTTGTGTGCTAAGGTGTCCTATATGGTTCAGTGGGTCAGCCTCCCAGTTACCTAAGGTGAACACTCTTGGTGCACCCCTTTATGGACTGTGTGTACAGCCTTATTGTAGTTAAGTTTTTATTGTTGTTGGTATCACTGGGAGGAACTGACTTCCAGGCCAATTGGCTATGAGGATCAGCTGTGTCTGTGCCAGGAGATAGCATTATTCAACTGACTTGGAAAAGTGCAAAAGCCTCTGAGCTCAGCTTGTATAGGGCAGAGTTTCAGGGTGGAGTCTACTGCCTTGGCTTACCGTCAGCTCTGCCCTGTGGGGTTCCTGAGTCTCAGTGTTCCTTAGTGTCCTTCGTACTCACTGCAAGCACCTCTGAGAGAAGGGTGCCCTCGAATTTCACCTGCTACCAGACAGTCTAGTCTTTCTCTCAATGAGCCCAGAACTGAGGTTCAGTGCAGTTGGAAGTGGGGTTGGAAGTGGGGTTCAGAGAAGTTCAGAGCTTTTGTCTCCTTCCCGCTAGGGTAGTCCAGTGGCACAATCAACAGTCCGTCTCCTGCGAGCATTCAGGTGCACCTCCAGGGCTCTGCCTTTCGCCGCTCCCCTGAGTTTCTGCCATACAGCCAGATTCCCTCCGTATGAGCCTGGGTCCCCAGGGTCTCGCTCAGAACTGGGGTTCAGTGCATTTGGAACTGGGGTTCAGCACAGTCCGGAGCTTTTATCTCCTTCCCACTAGGGAATGCCAGCCAGGCACTCAGCTGCCCCCTCCTCTCTGACTCCGTCCTCTCCCCACATGCACACCGTGTCTCCATACCTTAGGCTTTTACAGCTCCTTTGAATTTCCTTCTGGTTTTCTCTTTCCTTCTAGTTGTAGAATTTCCAGTCAATCAACTTTCCTGTAGTTCTGGATAATGTCCATTTTGTATTTTAGTTGTATTTTTTAAAATTGTTGTGTGAGGCTGCAGTAGGCATTTACCTATGCTGCCATCTTGGTTTCTCTCTGGGTTCTGATTTTAAAACAGTCATTGGTAGCTTAGGAACCCCTACCACTTGTACAGAAGCCTTACTCTGAGCAGAGGGAAACTTACATGGGCAGGTTAGTAACAGATAAAGTAGCCCCAGTATCTACAAGGCCCTTAGTGACCAAGTAAAGACTTCCTATCAGGAATATTAATGAGTGCTGGGATCTGGGAGTTTCTGGTCTTTGAGGGAGGCACAATTTCCCATCTTAATTTTAGTTTGTTTGCTTGTTTGTTTGGTTTTTAGATGTCTGCAGAGTCTGAACAAATTTTCTAGAGATATCATATAGTGGGTCGAAATGGGCTGCTTATCGGTTGAGCTCAGTGAGACTCTCCCTCCTTGAGTCACATTAAACCCTCTTATGCTTGGCTCATGGCTATCCAACATATCCCAAGGGCTCAGCAGATCGAACCCCTGAGCACTCCCCAGAGGAACCCACTTATTCACTTACAGTGGGGTTGGAAGAGAGAGTGCTCTGTGCTTCATTAAGAAAGACCTCTGATACAGCCACAGAGTTTCTTCATCACCGAAGAACACCTGAAGGAGGTGTTCCCTTCATCTTCGGAGCTGAAGGCGTTCAGCTCTCGTTTATACAGCACATTTTTTTTTTTTTTTTGGCTCAGACTCTCAGAAAGCAATTCTAATTGAAAAGCCAAAGTTAAAAACAAGCCACCCATTTTTCCTCCTGTCTTGCCTTAGCCTGGGTTCTTCCTTATTTCCACCTCGAGGATTTAAAAATACAGCTCAAATAAAGTCAGACCCTCTACCAAAAGCAAGGGAAGGTCCTGGATCCAAGAGACAACTCACCCAAGTTCACCCAATGGGCCCTTTGCTGGATCCTAGCACTCAGTCTGGGATCTGAGGGGTGGTCCGGGGTGAGCTTCTTTGGAATCCTTCCACACTATGTCAAGTAATATTAATGTAAGCAACATTCAAACCTGTGAAGAATTTTTGTGTTTATTTGAGCCAAACTATTGACAATTCCCGGGAAGCAGAATCTCAACATCCTATATAATAAAAGGCTAATATGCAAATCAACTGAATGGTGGAACAACTGGTCACTATGACACACACTGATCACCAGGGGGCAGACACTCAATGCAGGAGCTGCCCCCTGGTGGTCAGTGTGCTCCCATAGGGGGAGCACCACTCAGCCAGAAGCTGGGCTCATGGTTGGTGAGCACAGCTGCAGTGGCAGGAGCCCCTCCCAGCCTCCGCAGCACTAAGGACGTCCCACAGCCAGTAGTTGGACATCCCCTGAGGGCTCCCAGAGTGTGAAAGGGCACAGGCTGGGCTGAGGGATGCCCCCTTCTCCCAAGTGCACGAATTTCATGCACCAGGCCTCTAGTATTGAGATAATGCTCTGAAGAATGGCAATTTTGCACTTTGTTTTATACATTACAATTGAAGAAGGAGACGTAACTTGTGATGGATTAGGGAGGCAGAATAAAGCAAAGGGGGCGAACCTGGGATTGGATAAAAAGTAAAGTGATAAACACACACTACTTAGATAGGTGCAGGATAGATAACAGTCAGCAGTTAACTCAGTAACAGTGAAGGGACTTGTGCTTTGAGGGGTCCAGGAAAAGGAAAGTTACTTTCACATTCCAAGGATATGTTATCATAGATGCAAAAGGACAACAGGCTCAGCTTTGTCAGGGACGATACCGGCCCAGGAGGTGACTGCCCACCATCATCACTGCTTTTAGTTACAGTTTTAATTTCAGACCATCCTTCTTAAAAAAAATATATTTTTTTAATTATTGATTTTTTACAGAGAAGAAGGGAGAAGGATAGAGAGCTAGAAACATCGATGAGAGAGAAACATCAACCAGCTGCCTCCTGCACACCCCCAACTAGGGATGTGCCCGCAACCAATGAAAAAGCCCTTGACCGGAACCGTAACTGGGACCCTTCAGTCCGAAGACTGATACTCTATCCACTGAGCCAAACCGGTTTTGGCATCAGACCATCCTTTGTGGTGACTTTAGGTCTCCTGAGTTTGCAAGGCTGCCAGGAAGGCCTTCCCATAGCTTGTCAGGTTAGATGTGTCTCCTTTTTCATCCACACTGGCAACCAGACACAGTGAGGAGTGACGATACTGAGAAGCAGATGGTTCCTGACCTCTGCACTTTGCACTACATAAGCACTCCTGCCTGGGATCTGTGGTGGAAAAAATATCCAGACTTTAGAAACGTCTTATAAGAGTTTGAGCAAAACTTTGAGGATGTGCTCAGAAGTAAAATCTCAAGGGATTGAGGAAATGCTCTGCAAAACGGCAGTTTTGTAGCTTATGTGCATGGGTGGGGTCCCTTGGCCTGGCTGGCAATTGAGGTCTATGGGGGGGTGTGTGTGTGTAGGCCAGCCAGAGGGAGAGGCCGAGGGAGGTTGGCTGTGGGAGTGCACTGACCATCAGGGGCAGCTCCTAAGTTGAGCATCTTCTTCCTGGTGGTCAGTGCACCTCATAGTGACTGGTCAACTGGTTGTTTAAGTGGCTGAGTACTAATGGTTGCTTAGGCTTTTGTTTAGATGATAGATAGATAGATGATAGATAGATAGATAGATAGATAGATAGATAGATAGATAGATAGAGAAAGGAGAAGGTGTACGGAGGATTACATGAAACCCTCCATTGTTGGTTAATAATGGGGCAGGAGAAAGCAAAGTGGGGAAATTTCAAGGATTGGGTGAAAAGCAAAATGAAGAGACACATACTTCTTTCATATGGGCAGGTAAGAATAGTGAACATCTACAGCTCAAGGAGGCAGTATGTGGGACGGGTAACAAGGGTGCGGCGGACGATGGGTCCCCAGCTCTGGAGCCTGCAGTGGTGCCTTCCAGGGACCCAGAAAAATGACTCTCACCTCTCAGAGGTGGATCACCCGAGATGCCAGGCCGTGGAGGGGTCACTTAAGGTAAAGATTGACCTTTATCAAGGAAGGTGCAGCGTAGGACCTGAGGACCTACTATGACCTGCTTAGATAGAAATTTATGTTCAGAACCTCTGCCCTCCATCCTAGGAACCAGACCCGCCCAAGCGCCGGTTTCCTGCCGGCTTCCTTCCGGGAGGGCGCAGGCTCGACCTGGTCTCCGCTTCCGGCTTCCGGAGGGCGGACGCGCTTCCGGTTTCATGGCGACCCGAGCCCGGCAGCGCAAGGCGGCCCCTCCCTGCGAGCGGCCGGAGGCGACGGCGATGTGACCCGCGGGGCCTGGTGCCGGGCGGCGCGTCAGCTCCGTGTCGCCCTCAGTCCGCGCGGATGGCGGCGTCCGGCTGCGCGTGGGGCGCCGAGCCGCCACGGTTCCTGGAGGCCTTCGGGCGGCTGTGGCAGGTGCAGAGCCGCCTGGGCAGCGGGTCGTCGGCGTCGGTGTACCGGGTGCGCTGCTGCGGCACCCCGGGCTCGCCCCCCGGCGCGCTCAAGCAGTTCCTGCCGCCCGGCGCCTCCGGGGCCGCCGCCTCGGCCGCCGAGTACGGCTTCCGCAAGGAGCGCGCGGCGCTGGAGCAGCTGCAGGGCCACCGGAACATCGGTAATGGCGCCGCGCCGCTGCGGCCGCTGGGCGGGGGCGCCGAGGCCCTTCCCGGGACGGCGACCACGGCTTTGCCAGGAAAGTTTTCCGCCATTGCACAGCGGTGAAAAAACGGGAAATGCTTCTAGGGCTTGGGGCATCCCCGCCCACACCCGTAGGTGCCCCTCGGTCCGTATGGAGCCCGCGGGGGAGAAATGACTCAGTGTTTCGCGGCGTCTTGTGCGAGTGGGAGAGGTGTGCGCTGTGCTCTACGTCTGTGGCTCAGACACCAAATGGGAGATCCGAACCGATCACTGAGATCGGCCCGTGAAAACGGCCCAGGTGTCACTGCCCCACAGAGCTCAGTGGTTAGGGCTTTGCCTAATCCATGTTTACTTCCTGGTGAGCTTCGTTCGAAGGCTGGCCTTTTTTAAATACTACTTTTTGGAGAAGAATTTAGTATTAATTAGTGCGTGTGTTTTAAAGGCTGCGTCTTGTCCCTGCTCATGGACTTTAAGAGTGAATTTTTTTTTTTCAGTTTGTACAAACCTAAGGACTTGTTGAATCTGAAAGATTAGATGCAAATGCCATCTTTAAAAGTCTCTTAACATTTAGGTAATAGAGTGCTATTTTGGATCAAGAGTCAATATTCAAAATTTGTTTTTTCACACTGCGACATTCATCTTAAGAGTAGTACTTAATATTTGGATTTTTACTTAAATTTTTTTCCCCCATCATTTTTGCTTGGTACCTTCAGTATTCATTGAGTACTTAGTGATATACAACTTGAATTATTGTGCCACATTTAATATCTTTGAATAGTAATCAGCTGCTGAAAGTAGTATCGTCTTATAACCCAATTACCCAAAAATTTTATTACAGTAGAAGCTTCCTTGCCAGATTTATAAACCATTACAATTTGTCTCTTTTCATAGTCACTTTGTATGGAGTCTTTACAATCCATTTCTCTCCAAACGTGCCGTCTCGCTGCCTGCTGCTTGAGCTCCTGGACGTCAGCGTCTCGGAGTTGCTCTTATACTCCAGTCAGCAGGGCTGCTCCATGTGGATGATACAGCACTGTGCCCGCGACGTGCTGGAGGCCCTAGCTTTCCTTCACCGGGAGGGCTACGTCCACGCAGACCTCAAACCACGTAACATTCTGTGGAGTGCAGAGAACGAATGTTTTAAGCTCATTGACTTTGGACTTAGCTTCAAAGAAGGCAATCAAGTAAGAAATATGTTCTCCTCCCCCCCCCCCCCCCCCACACACACACACACCCATCAGAATCTAAGCTAAATGTCTTTAAATAGCAGAGGTGGTTTTAGTAGAGGCTTAAAAGATACTTTCTAACTTCAGGGATGAAATTTCTGGGGATAAAGCAAATTAAAAAATTTTCATTGCCAGCATGAAAGAAAGGCCATATGTTTGGGTCAGGTCAGGGAGACTAGTGTTAGGAGTAATTCACCTGTAAAATGCTTTTTTATTCTTTGAGCATTTGGTTACTTGCTGAATTATTGGTGTCTGCAGTGTTGGGGCTCCTGGGAGAACATGTTTGGGTTCTGGCAGCCCCCCATTCATTTGGTTTGTCAGCTCTTTGCACAGTGTCCTTGTTTATTAGCAGGAGCTGGCGGGCAGGAGGCTGCAGAAACTAGCAGCTGTCTGGAAATCATGCAGCTGGCCACCTGTGCACGGGAGAATGAGGGCAGCCAAGGACTGATTGTTTTGCATTCAGTTGCCAGCAGATACAGTGTACTGGTGGTGGATGGAAAGGGAGCAGCTTTTTACAGGTTGTGATGTTTACTCATCTTCAGGATGTGAAGTATATTCAGACAGACGGGTATCGGGCTCCAGAAGCAGAACTTCAGAATTGCATGGCCCAGGCTGGCCTGCAGAGCGACACAGAGTGCACCTCAGCCGTTGACCTGTGGAGCCTCGGCATCATTTTACTGGAAATGTTCTCAGGCGTGAAACTGAAACACACCATCAGGTCTCAGGAGTGGAAGGTAACCACACCAGTGCTTTGCTGGGGGTCCCTTGTCGCAGTTTCAGACTCCGAGGCTTACAGTGATTCTTGGTGAGGACTCTGCCTCACACTCTCTATCCCTCACTCTGCACTGTGGCTCCTGACAGCTGCGGCTCCTCCCACAGCTGCAGGCGCTGCTCAGCATTGTGCTCACTGCCTGGGCTCAGGCCTGGCGTGGTCAGCGCTGGGACAACGGCCTTTTCCTGAAGAAGCAAAGAGATTTCTTTTGTTTAGTAATTTAGTTATTCTGCAGTATACAGCAGTATGTTACCAGTTAAATGCTATTCTTTACATTGTGCTTACAGCTAATGCAGGTGAAACATTTTAATGCACAGCCTCATTGAATTCTGATATTGCTGTGAGGATGTCAGAGAGATGTTGGCCACTCTGTTCAAATGAACCAGAGACTCAGATGTGGAAACCTCTGGCTCTGGATCATATGACTGTCCTCCCCCCTCAGGCTTTGTCCACTGTCCTACACACCTTCCTGCTCGTCCGCCATGTGTGCACTTTCCTGGCAATGTGACTGCTGCTTACAGCATTGTTACTGTGGGGACAGGGACTGAGTTGCAAGCCTGTGACACAGGAGTGAGTTTTCTGTGTGTTCACAAGAATTAACCTCAGTATGGCTTTAAACACATTCTGGGGCTTTAATGTTGTGATGATGTTAGCATCCTTCAGGCTAGAGGTTTGGAAAATAGTACAATGTATGAGAATTTTGATGTAAACATCTGATACCGGGTGTGTGGGTGTTGGGCCTTTGGGAGTAGCAGCTCCTGGAAGGAATGTTTTAATCATCTAGTCAGTTACTAACTGCTTACTTTTGGCCAAAAACATGCTGCAGGCGATTAAAGCCAGTATCACTCTCTGTCATCGGTGCTCCCTGCAGCTGGGAGGCCAGATACCTTCCCTGGTGTCAGTGCAGATCAGTCCTCCCAGGGCTTCCACTGTCTGGTTCTACTTGGGCCAGAACCAATCAGACTGGGCCACAGTCGGGAATTTTGTGGTGAAATTTGGAGGCATTATGTGTACTTAATGGAATCCTCAGTATTCACTTCCTGGATAAAAACATCATTACATATTTCATCACTTTCTCTGAAGGCAAAATTGCCAAGTGAGTGTGAGCATAGGCTCTGGAGTGGTATGATGAGGTTCAGATCTTGCCTCTAGCTCTTACTAAGCTAGTTATTTAGGTTCATGAGACCATGGTTTACTTCTTGTAAAACAAGGATAATTCTGTATAATAAAAGGTTAATATGCAAATAGACCGAATGGCGGAATGACCAGTCGCTTAATGCAGGAGCTGCCCCCTGGTGGTCAGTGCACTCCAACACGGGGATCCAAAAGGTAGTGGTGGGAGCCTCTCCCACCTCCACAGCAGCGCTAAGGATATCCAACTAAGCCATCAGTCGGACATCCCCGAGGGCTCCTGGACTGGGGGGGTGCAGGCCAGGCTGAGGGGTACTCCCCTTCCCCCCAGTAAACAAACTTTGTGCACTGGGCCTCTAGTCCTATATAATAAAAGCCTAATATGCTAAGTGTCTGATCATTCGACCAGTTGCTATGATGCCCACTGACCACCAAGGGACAGACACTGTCCCATAGGTTAGCTTTCTGCTAGGGTCTGGCTGATTGGGACTGGGCAAGACGGGCTGGACACGCCCTGGAGCCCTCCTGTGGTCCCTCCCCAGCCCCTATTGGGCACCAGTGGAGTCCCTGAGCTGGCCTGCACCCTCTAGCAAACCGGGACTTTTCGGCGGATGTTGGAGAGTCGGTTTTGACCTGATCCCCATAGACCAGGCATATGTCTAATTAGAGTATTGGGGTTAAAAAAGAAATGCCTAGTTCTTAACATGTGTATGCCTATGGGACATTTAGAAACTTTGTGAACATGATACTGTCAGGTCATTTTACTCATGTATATACGGTACTTCCATGGTACTCAGAGAAATAGTATGCCTCACAAGGATGTAGAATGTGAATAATATAACAAATGCAGTTTTTAAATCGTGCCTTATTCTTCTGGATAGTTTATTTTATTTCTATCTGAAACCAACTGCAGACTCATCACTGAGACACAGGCTCACCCAGCCCCCCTGCATTTTCTCACTTTGCGTTGTGCTGCATTCTATGTGGTTACTTTGGTGTTTCTTCGCTTACCCTCCCATCAGTTGGTGCTGGTAGTAGGCCAGGTGCTGAGGCTAGGACACAAATAATTCTGTACAAATCTCTTAAGATCGGGAGTCTCGAGGAAGAGGGGGTTTCTGTTGCGTTTGACTTAGCAGCTAGTGCCTGGTACGTTAGGAAATGCTGACTGGATTAAATAACCAAAGGAAGACTCTTCTCCCTCCTTTTAGGCAAACAGTTCCGCCATCGTCGATCACATATTTGCCAGGAAAGCGGTGGTGAATGCTGCAATCCCAGCCTATCACCTGAGAGACCTTATCAAAAGGTGTGTCACTTTTACTTCAACTTTGCTATTCAGTGAAGAAATTCAGTTATTATTTCTGGTTTGTTTGATTATGTAGTGTGCCATGCTCAGCATGGCCAGGGGTGAACCTGAGAGGGAGCAGATTAAAGAAGACAGACAAGAGAATAAAGCTGGGGCTAGGTGGGATGCTGCTCTCCAGTGGAGAGACAGTGCCACAGCCTGCAAGCCGAGTCTTTATTTTATAGTCAGACTAGTGACCCGGTGAACAAAATTTGTGCACATTAAAAGGGGATTAATTAGATAAAATAATTTAATATTGCTATTTGCCCTTTGTCTATAATAGGAGTGCCAGAGATGAAAGAAAATTAGTAAAATGTATATGAAAACCTTCTTCCTGTCAGAGTCTGGGCCTCACCATGGGACCCAGAATCAAGTCCCTGCCCACCCACATGCACCTTAAAATTGTGTGAGATCCAGACCCACCCAGCCATCCCCACCATTGGGCTATATCCAGACCCGGCCATTCCCACCCTTGTCAAGCCCTGATGGGCAGGGGGCATAGCCTGAGGTCCCCCAGCCGAGACTCGGGTGGGGGCGTGCCTTGAGGTCCTCCATCAAGCCCTGCCAGGTGGGGAACAGGGCCTGAGATCCCTGTCAAGCCCAGCCAGATGAGGGGAGGGGAGGTGCAGCCTCAGGTTTCCTGGCCCAGCACCAGGAGCGGGGCACAGCCTCAGGTCTCCTGTCAAGCCCCGCTGGGTGGGGGCATGGCCCGAGTTCCCTCAACCCAGCACTGGGGTGCACCTGGAGGTCCCCCATCAAGCCCCACTGGGTGGGGGTCATGGTCTGCAAGTCCCCTGTCAAACCCAGCCAGGCACTGGGGTGCAGCCTCAGGTCCCCAGGCCTGGTGCTGGGGTGGGAGGAGCAGCCTGAAGTCCCCTGATAAGCCCTACCTGTTGGGGGATATGGCCTGAGGTCCACCAGCCTGGCGCTGGGGAAGAGGGAGCAGCCTGAGGTCCCCTAGCCCAGCACCAGGACAGGAAGCACACCTTGAGGTCCTCTGTCGAGCCCTGCTGGGTGGGGGAGGGCATAGTCTCAGGTTGTGCTGGTTGCTCATTAAGGCTTCTTATGGGAACTTGGCCGCAGCTGTGGGTGCAGCCATCTTTGTGATGGAGTAATGGTTAATTATCATATTTCCTCTATTAGGTAGGATTCCATGAGGTAAAGTATGGGCTTGGTCAAGATGTTTACAATGTTCTCACAGATTTGGGATCTACTCAATTACATGCACCTAATCAAGCTTTGTTTCCTTGCTGAACCTCCTGCAGCCTACATCACTCAGCCACCTGGGACCACAGGTTCGGAACATAAGGTCAAGTTTACAGCCATAGCTTTTGGCTATAATTGTGCTGGGAAGGCTTCACCTTCCAAGTTGGGACTTGCACGTGGCTTTGCCACGAGAGGACCGTGCCCTCTCATTAGTCTGAGGCCTGAACCTGTCCAAACGCTGTAGTCGCTCTCCACAATGTAGAAATAAAACCTACTTGAAACCTTCTATGCAGGCCAGCTTCTAATGAGAAACTTAAGTGATCAAGTCTTTTACTAAATTTATTTTTAGAGGGACATTCTTTTGTTCCTGAGGAGTCCTAGGGAGCAGGCCTTCCTGCAGAGAAACGGTGATGGGCCATGTGCCTTTGGCCTCTCATAGCCCTGGCTGTTCTGTGTACTTAAAGAGAGTCTTTATAAACTTGATGACTAAGTTTGTTTTGGACTACCAAAAAGAGGGTTCAGGTGAGGTCATTATGTATTACACTTTAAACATTACCACTGAAAACTGTGGAACAGAACAATTTTTGATTCCTGAGTAGATCCAGTCATAATAGATATATTAAAATAAGAAATAATGTGTATAATCAAATAGTTGATTTTCACAGTTCTAGCATTTATGGTCCAGAAATGAATAAAACAGTATGCTGCAAAAGGGTGGGTCTCCTGATCAAGTCATCGTATTATTGTTTGGAATATTGATCCTGTAAATCTTCCAATTAGGTGTTTGTGGGTTTTGTTTGTTTGTTTTTATTTTTGTAATAATTATAAATACATAGGAACTTGAGGTCTGCCCTTCAGCTATTTTCCCCCAGTGGTAACTTCTTTCATACCTGTCATGCTGGATCAGACCAGAAATGGGTGTTATAATCCATGTACCAGCTTTTCTGGTGAGACAAATTAAGCTTAGATAGCAGTTAGTAGATTAGTATCTGATGTCCGACATCACATGTTGCATTTTACCTTGAAAGGAAGCAGTGTAATGCCCTAGCTGGTTTGGCTCAGTGGATAGAGTGTTGGCCTGCAGACTGAAGGGTCTCAGGTTCGATTCCAGTCAAGGGCACATGCCTGAGTTGCCGGTTCGATCCCCAGTAAGGAGAGTGCAGGAAGAAGCCAATCTCTGATTCTCATCATTAACGTTTATCTCTGAAATCAATAAAAAAATATATATATATACATATATATATACACACACATATATATAAAGAAGCAGTGTAAGATTATAGTATAATGGATTCTATACAGCTGAAACTGATATAATATTGTACATCAACTATTATTTTTTTTAAATGGGAAAAATTACATAAGGGACTAGAGACCTGGTGCACAAAATTCATGGAACAGGGGTGGGGAGGTAATCCCTCAGCCCAGGCTGAATCCTCTCCAATCTGGGACCCCTTGGGGGCAGTCAGACATACCTCTCACAATCTGGGACTGCTGGCTTTTAACTGCTAGCCTGCTTGCCTGCCTGATTGCCCCCTAACTGCTCCCCTGCCAGCCTGATTCCCCCCATCTTTTCTCCCCTGCTGCCCTGATGGACCCCAACTGCCCTCTCCTGCTGGCCTGATCTCCCATAACTGCCCTCCCCTGCTGGCCATCTTGTGGTGGTCATTTTATGAGGGCATGACGCCACCTAAGCTTTTATTACATAGGATAGGACTAAAGGCCCATTGCATGAAAATTCATGTATTGGAGGAGGGGTCCCTCAGCCCAGCTTTTCCCCTCATAATCCAGGAGCCCTCAGGGGCAGGCGGTGACCTGGTGATCAGAAGAAGGTGACTCCCCATCACACTTCTGCTGCTGCCACTGCTGGCAGCGCAAGCCTTGGCTGGCCCTGGTTACCTGAGCCTTGGGTGACTAGGCTGCTGGGCAGCCGCCATCTGAGGCTTGCCTGCACCCCAGGCTGGCCTTGGGTGGCTGGGGGCTGAGTGTGGGTCCGGCTGCACTGTGCGCCTGCTGCTGCTGCTCCCCCCCCCCCCCCCCCCCCCCCCCCACACACACACACTTTCCAGACGGGGCTGAAAGGACTGGGGGATTCTAGTGGGGCTGAGTGGACTAGGCACCGCCATCTTGTGGCTGTGGACTTGTGACGGAGTGATGGTCAATTTGCATATTCCCTCTTTATTAGATAGGATTCTTGCTTGTAAGTCAGATCATCTAAGTTCTAGTATTGACTGAGATTTTTTTAATTATACAACTAATACTAAATTTGGAAGCTACAAAAAATTGTGATGAGGAAAATAAAATTGTATACCCTCTCTAGTGTTAGCAGTTGGTGCATTTCTTCTCAGTGTTTTCTTGTGTACTTAGTTAAGTGTCCAGGCATGGTTATTTGAACTTCTCTATGGAATTACACAGACATGGAGAACAAATGTGCAGCTCAGTGGATCCCTAAGCGCTTTGTCCACCATTTAGGTCAAGAAACAGCTTCGAGGTCGCTCGCAAGTCCCAAGTCTCCATTCAAGCCTCTTCCTCTTCCCCAAAGTAACCACTGCCCTTTCTTCATGCTGATTACGTCCTCGTTTCATTGCCATTAATAAAGTGTGCATCCTTACACACTGTAGTTTAGAGTTCTAAGAAGCAGTCCCTTTAAAATCTGTCTGAATCTAAAAAGTCTGTTGTTTTTTTTAATATATTTTATTGATTTTGTATAGAGAGGAAGGGAGAGAGATACAGAGTTAGAAACATCAATGAGAGAGAGTCATCGATCAGCTGCCTCTTGCACACCCCCCACTGGGGATATGCCCGCAACCAAGGTACATGCCCTTGACCAGAATCGAACCCGGGACCCTTCAGTCCCCAAGCCGACGCTCTCTCCATTAAGCCAAACCGGTTTCGGCTAAAAAGTCTGTTTCTGTCTCCTACCCCCACCCGTGTTTCTGTTTAACAGCTTGGGCTGTTGGCTCAGCGCAGTTGCCCACAGTCTGAACTTGCAGGTTGTGTTATGTGGTGTGGTTTAGCAAGTTCTCTGCTTATTTCCTGTAAGCTGGTGGTTGTATCTAGAGGGTTAGAATTGAAAAGTAATTTTTGGCGTGACTGTAGTTGGCATGGTGGAGTTATAGGGAGGCGCCTGATCACCCGTCAGTTCTCATTGTCCAGATCTTTGTTAGGGGTGTTCTCATCTGTCATCTGTCCTTCCCAGGGCTAACCAAACAACAGGGAAATGCTTGATTCTCTCTCTCGTTTTCATAATGTGGCAATGCCCTGTTGGCCTCCAAAGGGATCATGCCTTTTTTGGAACTTAAAAGTATCATTATTGACGAGTGGGTTCAAATACAGCTGATGTGTGTTTGCAGTCTTCTCTTCATTGGAGCTGTGTCCTGACTGAGGGACGGGAGCCTCTGTAGGTGGGCTCTGGTGAACCTCGTTATGTTCTGACAACTTCCTTGCTGTGACAGGCTGTTCCCAGTCACCTCTTACATGCCCTTCCCAGACCTGGAAGCAGCCACTTCTCCAGGAAGCATGGTTTCCTTTAGGAGGGAGTGGTGTTTTAAAATCACAGTCTGGGTAGTAGGTATACTCATTGGTACTGGGTGGTGTTGTGTCTAGGCCTTCTAAGGGGACAGAGGTCATACTGATGGTTACGTTCAAACGCAGGACAACCAGTGATGTCTTCGTTTTACATCTCTGTCTCCTTTCTTCTGGGTCACCAGTGCTGGCTCCAAGCACAGAGGGGATGCAGAATTAGAATGTTTCTTAACCACTCGTTTGCTTTGTGTACTAATGGAACCCTGAAACAGCCTGGACACAGGACAGCCATTATTCTCGGAGCAGTTGCTGAAAGCGCTCTGTGTGCTGGGCTTTCCCGTCCTTCCCCCATTGCAGTAGCCGTTGTATCTGCACCAGCAGGTCACATGGCCACTGCGTCCTGTCCTCTGCCCTGACACTGTCTCTGGGACTCGCTGGCTCCGTTGGTTAGTCTTTTCTCTGGTTCGCCAGGTCAGCTGGTGCTTTTCTGTGCAGCCTTCCACAAAGGTGCTGGCGGTGGGAGTCTCACCATGGGAAGTTTTGCCCTTTGCCTCTGTATTTTGGTGTTTATTAAGGTCACCTAGTTTTGTTGGTTGCTCCATATTGTTGTCATTGCTATCAAGTCGCTCAATTTTTGACAACATTGAAAGACCACCCCACCACTATCCTTTTTAATTTGTATTATTCAGTCTGTTTAGCTTTTCTTTCACTTAACATTATGAAGTATGGATCACTTTCTTTGTGTATTTGTTAACCTAAACAAAAACATTTTAAATTGAAACATATTGTGCCTTAAGTTTGTATCACAATTTATTCAACCATCCTATCTAATAAAGAGGGAATATGCTAATTGACCATCACAAAGATGGCTGCGCCCACAGCTAGTCCAAGTTCCCATAAGAAGCCTTAATGAGCAATCAGCAGGGACCTGGGGCTGTGCTCCTCCTGGCCCCCGTGGGCTTGATAGGGGACCTCAGGCCATGCCCCCACCCAGCAGGGCTTGACAGGGGACTTCAGGCTGCTCCTCCCACCCCAGCGCTGGGCCAGGGGACCTGGGCTGCACACCCCTGCCTGCCTGGGCTTGATAGGGGTCCTTGGCCGTGTACGTACCCACCTGGCGGGGCTTGATGGAGGATCTCAAGGCACTCTCCCTGCCCGGGTCTGGGCTGGGGGACTTCCCGCCACGTCCCCCATCCTGGCGCAGGGCTTGACAAGGGTGGGACTGGCTGGGTCTGGATCTAGCCCAAAGGGGGTCAGGATCTCACGGGATTTTGAGGTGCATGTGGGTGGGCAGGGACTTGACTCTGGGTCCCATGGTGTACCCCAGACTCTTAACAGGAGGAAGGTTTTCATACACATTTTACTAATTTTCTTTCATCTCTGACACTTCTATTATAGATAAAGGGCAAATAGCAATATTAAATTATTTCCTCTAATTCCCTTTTAATGTGCACAAATTTTGTTTATAATGGTCACTAGTTTGTTTATAAGTAGCATCTCCGTTTTCACAGAGGAAGGATTCAGTAGTCACACTCAGGGGATCGGTGCTGTGGTGCACTGGTGTGGTGGTCTTCAGTGTTAGCGTTTCAGGAGACGGACGTGCTCTGTTTCAGCATGCTGCACGAGGACCCGCGCCAGAGGGCTCCTGCCCACGTGGCTCTGTGCAGCCCCTTCTTCAGCATTCCGTTTGGTGAGTTGTGCGTGGCTTTGTTCCTTCCGGGGTTGTTTGGCTAATGCATATTTCCAATCTCCCCTGCCTGGTGTTCATCGATTTATCTAGGGAGCTGACATCTGACAATGTCTTAACCCCGACAGCCCCACACATCGAAGACCTGGTGATGCTCCCCACCCCGGTGCTGAGGCTGCTCAATGTGCTGGACGGTGACTACCTCGAGAGCGAGGAGGGGTACGAAGGTCAGTGCCACCTCCACTGGGTGCTCACACCTTCCTTAAGGGTCTGCCAGGGACACTCCCCAGGATTCTCAACTTTCTTGTCTGCACAGTGAGGATATTGAATTCTGTGTTTAAAATGCTATCGCTTTCTGATTCCTGTTACAGAGTATGTTGTGTCCCTTCCCCCCCCCACCCCCCAGAGTTCATGTAGCAAAGCCCTCTTCCCAAATGTGATAGATAGTACAGGTATTGGGAACTGGAGTTAGTTTTGGTGAATCTGAAGGCAGGTGACATTCAGAGGGCGGAGCATGAGTGACTGTGGGCGTCTCGGCAGAGCTGCACCTGAGCCCGTCAGAAGTTGGCGGAGTCTGGGGATGAGAAGCAGCCAGAGACCTGGCTCAGGGCAGGTGTGGCGTGTTCAGAGAGTGGCCAGCTGTTTGGTGTGGCTGCATCGAAGGATATTAGTTGGGGAGCAGTCAGTTTGCTGTGTTGAAGGACTTGAATTTTATCCCTGAGGTCGCAGCCGTGGAACATAAGCTTGCACAGAGCTGTGGGTCAGGTCCGAAGCCATTACAGATGTCAGGGAGGAGGCCTCAGACTGACGCTTCCCAACAAGCATTCTGGAGCACAGTGGTGAGGGGGCTGACCAGAGCCAGCCTCAAAATGTCGTTTTCTTTGTGGACAGTCAGGCCATTGCAGGCAGGGCTGAGTTACCACCTGTTTCCTGGAAAGTAAATTATTTGACAACCCTGGGCTTTGCTTAGTTACCTGAGAGTGAAACAAAGATAATTTATTTGAACCTGTGATGATTGTTAGTCCCTGTAGCCTCCTCATCTGAAAGCTTTGCTTTTGGCAGGCCCTTAGGGTGCACTGGTTCTGAAGTGTGTTAGAATGTAGATACTGAGTCTTAGTGTTTAAGAGTCTCTCGAGAACGCCTTTGTTTTGATTGGAAGGTCATCGTTAGATTACATTCAATTAATTTTAGGTGAGTTGGCTTGGTTACCGTGTGTGGGAATAGTATTGTCATCTTGGTGGGGTTGGTTAAGGAAGTGAGATTCAAATCTTCCTCTTTAGACCAAAATAAATTCTCAATCAAGTGAAGACTAAAATATTAAAAAGCAAAACAAAATGTAAGACAAAGTAAAGGAAGGAATAGAACAGGGCTAGAAGGAAAAGGAGGGAGGGAAGGAAGACAGGTGGGAATAAAAGCAAAAAATTAACGTAAAAGTTACGGGAGATTTTTTAAAATAATATTCCTGGAGCAGAAAAGGCCTCTTACAAGTTGATTACAAAACCCAGAAATAGTAAAATGGTAATGCAACAATTTTACCCTGACAAACACCATGAGAAAGATTAAGACGGGTACAGTCTAAGAAAACATAGACACAGGTCTTCTCAGACACAGCCCCGTGAACCCACCCAGGAGACGGTGGGCGAAGGACACAGACAGACAGTCTCCAGGAAAGGGTGTGCCAGGGCATCGCACCCATAGGTTTATTCTTGTTTACTGAAATGCTCATTAAAACCACACTGTGATATCTGTGACCCATCCTATCCGCAGTGGGCATGCATTTGATGACCCTCTGTGGGGTAGGTACGGAGGCCACTGCAGAATGCTCATGTCAGGAAACTTTGAAATGTGATGCTAACAGAATCAATCAATTCCAACCACGTGACCTAACAGTTCCATTTCTAGGAAGGCAACTTAGAAATACACAAATTAAATGAGACCTGTGCCAGCTTGTCTATTATAGATTGTTTGAATGTTGTTTGAATGTAGATAGTAATCTGCTTTTGAGCAGTAGGAGGCATATTAGAGACTTAATATTAGAGACTTAATATTTCATTCTGGAGGTGAAATATCACACAGTCACAAAAACAAACAAGAGATTTCAAATGATTTTGAAAGATCTTAAAGATTCAGTGTTAAGAAAAAGCAGGACTGGACTTTTTCTCTTAAAGACATGATCATATTTGCTTGTCTGAGCTTGTGTTTATGGAAGAGATGGTCATGCTTGTTGACTTCAGGGAGGGGCCGGAATGGAAACTGGAAAAGAGGAGGAGGACTGCTATTTCCAGATTCTGGATTTTGAATCATTCGGATGTATTAGCTATTCAAAGTGTTAAAATATAAAAAGAAAACTTTTAAATGTATTGAATTTATATACTTAAGCTTAATTTTCAAAACTATAGAAAGTGGTCTTATTACTTAAATATGGATTCCTGAGTTATGATGATTACGTTTTTTGAGTAATGGGTCTTGTTAATCGCATGGCGGGCTGTGTTTGGACACAGATGCGGTGGAGGACGTGCGGGAGGAGTGCCAGAAGTACGGGCCGGTGGTGTCGCTGCTGGTTCCCAAGGAGAGCCCAGGCCGGGGACAGGTGAGCGGCCCCCTCACTGTCAGAGAGAGACGACTGGAATTCGCTCCATGTGTTTTGTTCCGTAGAAAATGCAGACAAAAACGTTGCTAGAGGTTACGAAGTTTTCATTATGGAGGCTTTATTTTCTTGTACTTTTTCCAAAAGTTCTATAATATGCATACATTTCCCAGTCAGTATTTGTTTTTTAAAAAGTAGTAATCTGCTTTTGAGCCATTGTAAACGGTGACACCAACAGAAGCAGGTGCAACTCTGGGTCAGGTTCAGCACAAAAATATTTTGTCCCGATTTTTTTCTCATTAAGTAGAGTTAGAAAACCATTTAAGTTATGTTCTGATTATAACAGGATTACCATCCGAGTTCCAGTCTCAGTGTGACTTTGTGGCAATTCTTAGTTATTTTATCTATAAAATATATGGGCTAAACCTAGGATCACAGAGTTTTGTTTAGAAACTGTGGTTTTAAATTAAATTATATGGCAAAGAAGATAGGAGAATTCTTCCTTCTGTCTATAGTATTTTTATCTTCTGGAAAACAGAATATTGTTTTAGCATCTCAGTTTCCCAGCCTTGACACCTTTGAAGCATGCTCTGGGTAGTTCCTGTTGGGGGCGTCTAGTGCACGGGGCTGTTTTGGACACTGGGCTGTCTTCCGCTGGGTGTGGAAGCAGTCAGACTGGGAACGAGTTCCGGTGAGGGCGCTGGCACGTGTGAGGGTCAGCGCGGCCTCAGAGTGGGAGTGGGGAGAGCAGGTGTGATCTCAGAGGTGTGGGTTGGCAGGCTGAGGAGGGAGGGCTGAAGTTTGAGTTGAGGACAGTGTGGTCTGCCTCCACATTAGCCCCTGGTCAGGAGGACAGGAAGCTGACCAGGGAGGCAGGAGGAGCGTTTCCGGAGGGTGTCCAGCATCAAGGAGATAGGAAAGAGGAAGTCTCCCGTGAGAGGACACCTGTGTTGAGACGCTTCCTGGAATTCCCGTGGGAGGAGTGACAGTCACTCGTTAGCCTGGAATCCCAGGTCTCACTCCTTTCGGTTTTTTGAGAATGTTTGTTATCAGGTCACTCATCCCCTGACCTGCTTCAGCACAGAGGAGCCTGCCCCCAGACAGACAGACTGACAGGTGCTGGGGACCACACACCCTGCGCCAGGACAGGCCAGGCAGCACCTCAGCCACTGCCACCATAGTACTCGGAGCCACCTGGCCCTGGACTTGGGAGCCCTTTGAGGTTGTAATGATGTGAACTGTCCACCCATTTACTTCTGCCATCGCTCCCATGCCAGGGGAAGGCTGTGCCAGAGTTGGGCCAAGGACTCAAACAAGTGTTCCAAGCCAGAGTGTTGAGTCCTCCATCCTACACCCTCTTCAGGTTTTTATGAACAGAGTTCCTTCGTGTGACACGGTGCCAGCACGCAGTCACCAGACACCTTGCATGGCAGGGCCGCGGTCCTTCACCTCCATCCTTGTTTATTTTTTAATTAAAAAAAAATCCTCCTCTGAGGATATGTTTTTACTGATTTTTAGAGAGTGAAAGGGAGGCAGAAAGGAGAGAGAGAGAGGAAACAGTGATGTGAGATGAAACATTGATCGGCTGCCTCCTGAACGCACCCTGACCGGAGATCAGACCGTAACCTTTGTTGTATGAAGTAATGCTCCAACGAACTGAGCCACCTGACCAGGGCTCCATCCTGATTTTTTTCTTTTTCTAAAATACATTTTTATTGATTTCAGAGAGATGAAGAGAGAGAGAAACGTCACTGTGAGAGAATCATCGATTGGTTGCCTCCTGCTGGCCCCCTGCTGGGGATTAAGCCTGCAACCCGGGCATGGGCCCTGACAAGGGATTGAACTGTGACCCCTGGTTCATAGGTCGATGCTCTACCACTGAGCTACACTGGCCCAACTTTATCTTGATTTCTTATTCCTACTGACTCTCAGGCCACCTCTCCTTTCCTCTGGACAGTCACTTTGAAGGTGATGTATGCCCACCGGCCAGTTCCTGCGGTATTCCCAGTTATTCCAGTCCACACCCCTGCACATGGAGCAGCATGGACACATGGGGAAGGAGGCGGGAAGGAGGCGGGGGGTGGGAGGGTTGTGGGACAGAGTCTATAAAGGCCACAGAGGTGGACAGTGATGTCCTCGGCCTTCACATTCTCTCAGTTCACTCATCACCCAGAGCAGCTTCCCGGCCCGCAGGCTGGTGCGAGCTCAGCGCCTGCTCAGGTGCCTCACTCTCCACTGGACTGGAACTGACCTTTCCTGTGCGCAAGTGTGTCCAGGTGCCGAACACTTACGCTAGCACGGGGGCCTGCAGTGCTCACAGCCCCGCCGTGCAGGCTGCAGCCCGGGGCAGGCTGTGTGTGCAGGTGTGCGGAAGGGCCTGTGCTGTTTGCACGAGGAAATCGCTCACAGCTCGCTTCCCAGCCCGAGCCGGCCTCCTGGGCAGAGCAGCACCGGGTGGAGCCGCCGCCTCTTTCCGTGCCTGGAGGCCTGGAAGCGGCTCCGCCCTGCGGAGTGACTGCTCCGTCCGGGAGAGAAGACTCCTGAGAGGGGAAGTGGCTGCCCCTGAACTTCTGATTTCAGGAAAAGGTGCAGGTGAACGTTGAGAACCTAGAAGCTGATTTCCTTCTTCTGTTGTTTGTGGAAAGTCTGTGCCGCTTTGGTGCTCGTGATAGGGCTGGTCCTAGTCGCTATTTCAGGTTGTTTCTTCTCCCTGGGACGTTGCTTTAGATCAGACAGCACTGGTGAGCTGTCCTGCTGTATCCACCAGGCTGAGGGGTTCAGATGCTCTGGGAAAGGAAGTGACCTTCCTACGTTCTATTATAGCGCCCACCCATCTGCGTATTTCCCCTGGAAGTGGCTGCCGCGGGCGTGCTGAGAAGCGCCCGGCTGCCTGTCTTGGCTGCCCCCACTGCCCAGCACTGTTCTGCGGACTGGGCTGTATGTCCAACTGGTCTTTGTTGGATTTTCTGAATTGACTGAGTTCTAAGGGAGCATCCTAAAACTTGCTGCTCAAAATTGTGGTCCACGGACCAACAGAATCTGGTGGCCATGTGGGCCCTCGGTAGCAGTGCCCCGAGACCCTATGGGAACGAGGCCGTGTGTTCTGTCTCCATAGGTCTTTGTCGAGTACGCGAATGCTGGGGACTCCAAAGCTGCTCAGAAGCTGCTGACGGGAAGGAGGTTCGACGGGAAGTTTGTCGTGGCCACGTTCTACCCGCTGAGTGCCTACAAGAGGGGGTACCTGTACCAGACCTTGCTTTAGTCAGCAACCTTGGGAGATGCCTGTGTCTCCTCTTCCACTCCCTGGTGGTCATATTCCTCCCAAAAGCAGGAGCACCCTGCCCGTTGGGAGGGGACACGTTGTACATTTGTTTCACCTGCTCACGGGGGCTGTTGCTCAACACTGACTGCACTGTAGACCCGGGCCCCGCGCAGGACGTTCCTCTCCCCATCCCAGGCGGGACCCTGCTGTGTGCAGCCTCGACACTCATTATTGCATGTGACCGTGAGGCGGTGACGCGGGCCCAGGGAGCAGGGACGCCGCTGGAGCGGTGGTGCCTCCTGCACAGCACTCCGGAGCCGTCCATGTCCTTGGGCGCTGGGAGCTCCGTGACGTTACCTCCTGTCCACACTGAGTTACCATCAGCCCAGAAGTCCTATAGCTGGGATGTTCCTTTAAGGAGCCTGCAGGGAGCCTGGCTGCAGGCTTTTCATACGGCTTTTAGGCTGGAAAGCTGAGGCTTGATGTTGCACAACCCGACGTCTGGCATGTGCTCACGTGAGTGCAAGTGGGAGAGAGAGAAAACCCGGTTGGTCCTTTTCCTGTGATTCCTGTGAGCTGATCCCATCCACACCAGCCCATTCCCTACACATCACACCTGTCACGTTTAGATATCGGCCGTCTGAGAGTTGGCCTGTATGATAGAAGGTGAATGAGAAACATTCCTGGGAGGCTCAGAACAAGTGAGTCCAGACTGGGTTCCATTGAAATCTCTTAATTTAATGGTTGGATCAGAGGGGAAGTTCTGCCTCGAGTGCCTGCCTCATTCCATCTGCATTGGACCCGGGCGAGCCCACCTCTGCTGTCTCGTGAGCACTGCTAGCTCCTCAGAGTGTGCTCCCTGCTGGCGGAAAGCTGAAGTGTCAGAAAGAAAAGACTCCATGTTCAGTGCAGCAGGCACAGGGTGGGTGACGGGCCCTTCTGTCCTGCTGCTGCTCTTCCCTGCCCCTCCTGCCCTGGCGGAGCCAGAGCCGCGCCCACTGGTCTGGTTTGGAGGTCAGGAGAGTGAAGGAAGGGGAGGCTGCCCAGGTGGGATGGAGAGGAAGGACAACTGCACTGCGATCGGGGACACGGGGTCACGGGCTTCCTGTCACTTTAGATTGTCTTTAAGGATTTAAACTTAGGAACCCTTTATAAAGCACTGATTATACAAAAAGTAGTATTGTGCAGAGTATGACTTTTGTGTTTTATTCCTAAATGAAGTTGCTATTTATTTATTTTTCCCTAAGGAATGTTCTTGTGTGTCTTTCCCACTGGAGCTGTGCAGGCCACTGAGCCCCGGTGTGGCTCAGATCTCAGCGGGGCGCTGGGTGACCCTGCGGCAGTGACTGCTCCGTGGTTCAGTTACTAGTGACCGACTTGTCTGGACTCCCGTAGTGTGCCCGGCCGCCTTAGTGTGCGCCCCAAGCCCAGCCACCTTAGTGTGCGCCCCGAGACCTGCTGTCCTAGTGTGCGCCCCGAGCCCGGCTTTCTTAGTGTGCGCCCCGAGACCCGCTGTCTTGGTGTGCGCCCCGAGCCTGGCTGTCTTAGTGTGCGCCCCGAGACCCGCTGTCTTGGTGTGCTCCCCGAGACCCGCTGTCTCAGTGTGTGCCCCGAGCCCGACCGCCTTGGTGTGCGCCCCGAGCCCTGCTGTCTTAGTGTGCGCCCCGAGACCCGCTGTCTTAGTGTGCGCCCCGAGCCCGGCCGCCTTGGTGTGCGCCCCGAGCCCGGCTGTCTTAGGGTGCGCCCTGAGCCCCACTGTGCGCCCCGGGACCCGCTGTCTTAGTGTGCGCCCTGAGCCCCGCTGTCTTAGTGTGCGCCCTGAGACCCGCTATCTTAGTGTGCGCCCTGAGCCCAGCCGCCTTGGTGTGTACCCCGAGCCAGGCCGTCTTGGTGTGCGCCCCGAGACCTGCTGTCTTAGTGTGTGCCCCGAGCCCGGCCGCCTTGGTGTGCGCCCCGAGACCCGCTGTCTTAGTGTGCGCCCCGAGCCCGGCCGCCTTGGTGTGCGCCCCGAGCCCGGCCGCCTTGGTGTGCGCCCCGAGCCCCACTGTGTGCCCCGAGCCCGGCCGCCTTGGTGTGCGCCCCGAGCCCAGCCGCCTTAGTGTGCGCCCTGAGCCCCACTGTGTGCCCCAAGCCCGGCCGTCTTAGTGTGCGCCCCGAGCCCCGCTGTCTTAGTGTGTACCCCGAGCCCGGCCGCCTTGGTGTGCGCCCCGAGCCCAGCCGTCTTAGTGTGCGCCCTGAGCCCCACTGTGTGCCCCGAGCCCGGCCGTCTTAGTGTGCGCCCCGAGCCCCGCTGTCTTAGTGTGTACCCCGAGCCCGGCCGCCTTGGTGTGCGCCCCGAGCCCGGCCGCCTTGGTGTGCGCCCCGAGCCCGGCCGTCTTGGTGTGCGCCCCGAGCCCAGCTGTCTTAGTGTGCGCCCTGAGCCCCACTGTGTGCCCCGAGCCCGGCCGTCTTAGTGTGCGCCCTGGTGCAGAATTGCAAAGGCTGCGGCTTGGTCCTGGGGAAAGTCAGCAGGTCAGCACGGCCCTTCCCTTTGGAGGAGGAACTCTGCTCTGTGCCCTTGCAGAGGCCGACTATCGGCTTGATTTCCAGTACTAATTCAAGAGAATGAAACCCATACGGTGGGACCTACGCAGCCCTAAGACATCAGTTTGTGCGGGTGGTAGCTTCCCTGGTGGTGAAAAGCCTGGTGCTTCTGTACATGCTGATGAACACAGAGTGCAGTGAATTCTTTTCGAGGGCAAGCCTAGAATAGGTGAGCACTGAACCTCACATTCCCTGTCCCGACCACCAAAACCCAAGTCCTTAGCATCAACGCTGCAGTGGCTTCAGGCAGTGGCTCTGATTCCGTACTGCACCCCGCAGCTCCTCAGTTCTCGTCTCAGTGCTGTGCACGCAGACAGTTACCATATTTTTCCGACCATAAGACGCACTTTTTTTCCCCCAGAAGTGGGGGGGGGGGAAGTCCCTGCGTCTTATGGTCCAAATATAGCCTATACATATACTTTAAAAAAAAGTTTTTTTACTTGCCCGGCTCTTTGTGGTCTCTGTGTGCTTGCCCGGCTCTAAAATGGTTCTAAATGCTGCTGTTTACTTTACAGGGTTGATTACATGTGTTTATGACTGTGATGTTGGGTTTTAATGCACATAAAATATTTTAGGACACTATTTGTTTCAGAATCTTTTTTTCTTCATTTCCCTTCTCTAAAAACTGGTGCATCTTATGGTCCGGAGCATCTTATGGTCCGAAAAATACGGTATGTGGTGGCTGACACGCGGGCCGCTATGAAAGATGCTGGCTAGATTGTAAGGGAGCTGAGGAGAACTTGGTGAGCCTGAGTACCCTTTATTGAATTAAATATTTTGTATTAAAGCCGCAAAGTGGAAAAAGATGCCTCCTATGCTTTAAGTTCTTTCCTAGCTCTTAGCCCATTACTACCAAAGACATTCTCTTCTCACAGGATCAGAAATCCAGTTTTAGTATCTTCTTAAATTGCAACCAAATATTTTCAAAGATGCCCTTTTCATGATTCTTTTAGGGTGAAATATATGCATGAATTTAGATTGTTTGAAATGATTAACAACCTAGAAATTTTCTTTTTGAAAGGTGAGGGGTCATGTCACTTAACCCTGACCCTTTTGGGAAAATTTGATCTCAGGTAGTTTTTCTTTGCTGAATTAGCATCTGTGCTTCCATCCTTCTTCCTCACTCCCCCTCCCCCCATTTCTTCTCATTGTTCATGGTTTTGAGGTACATTTTGCCCAAAGACCTGTAACTGGGTTTGGCGTTGTTTGGCAGATGTTGGAGTTGGCAGGTAGTGCTTTCCCAGCTTTGCAGCATCTGTAAGAGGAGAACCAGGCTGCACTCGCCCCGAAGGAGACTGAGACTCCCACAGCGGAGGTGCCTGCGGGCCTGGTGTTCCCCCTGACTGTCCTCCCGCAGCCCTGAGAGCTCCCTCTGCTGGTCCTGATCGAAGCTGCGCTACACCTTGGCCTGGAGCACACACTGCCAGCTGCTGGCATGCTGGCTTTCACCATTGTTGTAAAGGCCCATTGTGCTGGTTTATATTTAACCTCTGAGCAGGTTTATTTTAAGGAATGCTGCCAGAAACATTGCTGAGAAGGAAGGAGACCTGCCCTCGGCGGTTCCTCTGATACCGGATCTCACCTGCGAGCACAGGCCACCTCTCCGGGAGGCACGCCGCCCTGGCTCAGGGCTGGACTTACTGACCAGATGCAGGCCCCTCACGCTGGGCAGCAGATTCCCTTTAGGCCTTACTTTTCACTTACAGTGGGAGGCCCGTCTTATAATTTCTGTACCAGTTACACTCAGCAGGGGCACGTTGTTTTTGGTAATTTAATGAAAACCAACACCATTGTAACTGATAACAGTTTGTTTCCGGTGAGAGAGTTGGGGAGACTCGCTCAGGAACCAGGCTGGCATGCCGGATATGGGGTGGCTGTTGGGGGGGGGGCACACGTGGATCACTTAATCTGCGGTGAGCAGGTGTCAGGTTTAAGCAAGTGCCTTGTTCCAGGAAACACTGGCACTCATTGGCAGAAAGCTCCCGGCTGGTGACGGAGTGGCACCCCTGGCTTGTTCTTAGAATAGCCTTTGGTGGAGTCACAGTAAAAAGCCCAGTTCCCGTGGTTTACCTTTTGGTGTGCGTTAGCCCTATCGTGTTTAATTCCCCCCCACAGCACACTTGCTAGGAAGCCGGAGCTCCCGGGTGGAGTCTGATTCTTCCTCGGGTCTAGTTCCTGTCTCCACCGGGCTCCCCAGTCCTGCCCCGCTGGCTCTGCTGCCGCTCATGTAGCTCTGGTCAAGGGGGCACCTGGGAGGCATCTTTCCCAAGGTGCTCAGGGAGCGCCCTCGCCTCCAGAGGGTCGAGGCGCGTGTGACTGCTGCTTTCTCTGGTCTCACGGAGCCGCGAGCCCGCACCGTCGGAACAGCATTTCTCGGCAGCAAGGCCGCAGGGACTCACTCTCTGCAGCACCCGCGCTCTAGCGAGGGCTGTGCTGGTGGGCCAGCTCCCTTCCCTTGCCCGCGCACCCGTCTGTTAGCTCCTGCTTTATCCTTTGGCTTGTTTAAATTGCCCATTGACCAGTAGATTCATAACAGTGGTGCACAGCGCACAGGTGCTGGGAGTATTTAAAAAGGCAGAGCAGTTTTCACTCTTTCTGCTGCAAGTCCGTAGGAGCAGTGGTCTAGAAAAATGGCCTGTAAGCCAGCGAGCCCTGAGGTTTCCCCGTGCAGGCGGCAGGCACGCCTGTGTTCTCATGGGAAGGCTGCGCCGTCTTCCTGCCGCTCCGCTCTGGCTGTCCCGGCACTGCTTCTGCGATGACTGGTGTTTCCAGTTTGCTTTGCTTGTGCTTGTTAGACAGTTGTCACAGTCGTGACAGCTGTGCGTGTGGCACTGTGAATGCTGGCATTCCTGGGGAACCCCTGCCGCGGGGCCTTCCCACCTGTGCGTGTCCCAGGGATGCGGCGCTCCCCAGCCACACGTGCTTAGGAGGGGGTTCCAGCACTTTGACTCCAAGGCAAAGGGAAGCATTCTGTCTTATTTGCCTTATGACCACTAATCCTCGTGCAGAAAGGAGCTTATTTTGTTAATGAAAATAAGTCACATCTGGAATAAAATGAAAAGCCCAAACTGAATTGTTAATTTTTCTGTTCCTTTCTGGGAAACCTGTGTAAACACTAGAGCTGTTTGTTACCAGAAACTTGGGTTGTCGGCAAGAGAATTGTTTGTAGGCACTTTCGTACCCCAGTTTGGAATTGTCTGCTGCTAGGTGATTCCCAAAATTGTGAGACGTCAGGACGGCAGAGCTGTGCTCCGCAGCCCTTCCTGTGCTGCGTGGGCTCCACAGCCGCTGAGGAAGAGCAGGAAGAGCAAGAGGCAGCAACAGTGATGAGGGCACAGCTGCTCCTGGCTGGGGTCCGTGACCTCCCATGGAGGGTGTGACAGGTGTCTTCTTTCAGGTCCCTGTTGGGGCTGGTAGCATAGTCCGTTACCTTTCTGCACATTCCTCTACAGTCCACCCAGGATATTCTTTTACGCGTGTGTGGAACCAGGTTGACTGCCTTGCTCAGTTTGTCCTCATTTTTAAAATAAATAGTTGAAGTGCAGCCTTTGTGCATTCAGTGCACAGGACGCTCTTGTAAGCCAGGGATAG